AGGTGTCTATAACAACGATCCAAATGACGATTTGACATCATCTACGGGGCAGGTGACTCGATCGACCGGCGACACATTCACAGCAAGTACAACTCAGATGATTTACGAGCAATTTGGCATAACATGTCAGTAAAGAAGATCAGAAAAGTTCGCCTCTCAAATATGTTTCCTACAGGGAAGGTCGATGGCAAAAATGAGAAGATTGGTGGCATATTGTTCAGCGAACAATTCAAGCCAATTTATAATCCACTTTTATTTGCGTCGACGGACTATACACCGATGTTCTGGCCACAGTATCTAGATATGAATGCTTCGAGGGTATTCACTATGGAGCAGGTAAATTCTTTTTGCTAATGAGATTTTAAATAAAATTGGTTTCAACCAACAGATGAAATATCGGGCAAACCAAACTCAAGATGTATATTAATAGATGCGTCTTGCAACGTTTTTTACTGCAATCAAATCTATAATCGTCACTTCTTTGATAGCATCTATCGGTAATGCTAGGAAGATTTAGGTTTGACCTTATGAGAAGTTATCTGCTTACTTAAATACTCAGATAATTAGATGGACTGTCTTCACTTGTCGTGCATGCCACAGCACTGTTTCTATCCGTTTCTGTCTCTCACCAGCGTCATCCACGATGTTGGTATTTAACTGCAGCGGCGACGTTCGCGAGGTCAAGATCCATCACTCGTTAGCAGCTGAGACTTCAGCTGGTCCATCTGTGCAACGAACACGTCAGCCCATCTGGTCGGTAGCCATCCTCGAGGACGTTTTGCTTTGCAAGGGATCCATTTCAGAGTTCTTAGCGTCCATATGTCGTCTGTTCTTCTCATTATATGACCAGCCCATCGATGTTTTGCCTATTGGGCGTATTCCGCTGGGTCGCGAGAGGTTGATCTCATATCTGAACGTGAAGTCCGACGAGATGTTGAGCGCGTCGGTTGTACTTCAGAAGACGTCGTTCCGGCGCTCGATGGGTTGTTCGAAGTGCCTTCAAAGAGCGCAGGGAGAACGGTTGAATCGAAAAGGTGAGCTTGAAGCTCTGGTCCGTCAGTTGGTCTGTGGCTTCCTTTAGGGGCCCGAAGGCGCCCAAGCTGCTCTTCGTCTCCTATTTAGTTCTTCTTTCAGATCGTTCTCCATGTTCATCGAACGCCCGAGATACCATTCATCACCCACTGCAACGCGGCAGTAAACAGCTTTGGCGACACGGTGTCGCCTTGTCGAAACCCCTTCTGGTATGTTAAGGGGACGATGGAAAAGCTGTACCGTTATAGAGCAGTCTTGTAGCAGTCGGCCAATGTCCTCACGTAAGATGGGTCCACACCTTGGTCGTCGGCGCTGACACTATGGCGTTAGTCTCGGCGCTGTCATACGCTTTCTCATAGTCAACGAAGGTTAGGACGAGAGGTAGGCGGTACTCTCGGCCAACCTCGATGATCCTCGAAACTGTCTGGATGT